TCCAGGAGACGGAGGTTGCAGTGAACGGAAATCATGCCACTGCACTCCAGCCTGGGCGACTGAGACCCTGTCTCAAAAAAAAAAAAAAAAAAAAAAAAGGAAGAAGAAGAACTGGGTTCATCTGCCAGCACAGCAGCCCACCCCATCGTGTGCTGGCCCAGGGGCCAGGGAATGAGAGGAATGACAAAGATGCCTGTGTCCCCCTTGAAGCCGTTATTTTGGAGGAAGCAGTGCGATGGTTGAACATATAGATTGGCATGTTTTTGAGGCACGCACTGACTTTATTATTTAGCTCACTGAGCAGCTGTTCAATGAGGCTGGGTTTAGATTGTTTTGGGAAGAGATTCACATCCTTCTCCAATTACCTTTTCCAAGTTAGTCAGCCATTGCTGGTCGGTTCCCTCTACTATGAAGTGGTGCGTGTGTGTTTGTGTGCTCGCACCCTGCCCTCATAACCCAGTTGCAGGCTGAGGAGAGGAAGCATGTTTTATTTATGATTTTTATTTATTTATTTCTAAAATTTTTTATTTTTATTTTTATTTTTATTTTTCTGAGACAGAGTCTCATTCTGTCACCCAGGCTGGAGTGCAGTGGTGCAAACACGGCTCACTGCAACCTCCGCCTCTGGGTTCAAGTGATTCTCCTGCCTCAGCCTCTGGGATCACAGGCACCCGCCACCACGCCCAGCTAATTTTTGTATTTCTAGTGGAGACAGGGTTTCACCATGTTGTCCAGGCTGCTCTTGAACTCCCGACCTCAAGTGATCCACCCTCCTCGGCCTCTGAAAGTGCTGGAATTACAGATGTGAGCCACCTCGCCCGGACTCTGTGTGTGTGTGTGTGTGTGTGTGTGTGTGTGTGTGTAGAGAAGGGGTCTTGCTGTGTTACCCAGGCTGGAGTGCAGTGGCCTGATTATAGCTTTCTGCAACCTCAATCTCCTGGGCTCAAGCGATCCTAGAGGAAGGGCGTTTCGGTATGGACACTTCTTAGGAAATCTTTGCTGCTTTGGAGACTAAAAGAGCCCAAAGGCAGGTAAGTGAGCCGCGGATACAAGCCTCCCTGTTGTTGCATACCGGTCTCAGGAAACTGAGCGAGGAGTAAGGAGGGCAGTGGGTTAGGAACAGCCAGCAGATGGCGCCAGCCCCCCAGGCATGACGCGCTGGCCGCAGGAGCGCCTGGGAGTGGCCGCCAAGCTGGTCCCCAAACAAAACTGGAGCCAATGCGCTCTCTGGGGTCCTTCACATCCTGCCACTGAGCGACCCGAAGGAAATCAGCCACTTCCTGGCTCTGGGGCTTCACCTTTTAGTGAGCCTCGTTAGCCGGTTTTGTTTTCTTTTGGGGGACGTGCGTGTGGTTTGTGACCCCTTTTCCCGTTGACGCTCGGAGTCCAGAGCTCCCCGGGTCCGCCCTGAGCCGTGGCACGGCCTCGCCTCGCTCCCGCGCCCAGAGCGGCGCTCGCAGGTCCGTGGCTGCCTGCACAGAGGTCTGTCCTGGACCTCTTAGGTTAGACTGTCCCCTCCCTCCCCGTAGCCGCTGCTGTTTGGGGACTTGGACGCCCCTCTGCTGAGACAAGGGACGCCCCTTGCCTCCAGCCCCATGTGACATCTTCTTTGAAGAATCGCTGCCTCACCTAGATGTCCCTTGGGCGGTGCAGTTCGTTGGCCTTGTAGGAAGGCTGGTTGCGAAGAGCAGGGCTTTTACTCAGGGCCCCCGTGGCTGATGATTGTGTCCTGCATGGGATAATGTAAAGTGCGCACAGGTCACTCCCTGATCAGATGTCCCAGGGAGATCGAGGGGTGGGTGCAGCTTGATGGAACCTCTTCTTCAGGCCAGCAGAGGGAGGGAGGGCAGGCCTGCCCCGCTAGCCAGTTCCCAAGAACCCGGTCTTAAACCAGCTCATATATCCCCCATCGCTCCCCCGTGTGTCCTGGCTTCCCTCCTCAGCTAGGAGCCCCAGACACGTCCACCTGCAAGGTGAACTATGCCGTCCTGTGCCAACCAACAGGGATCAGGGGAAGGTGGACAGAGGGGGTGCACATCTGTTCCCCTCAACCCCCAACCCCAGGTCAGATCTCCATTCCCACAATAAACGGTACCTAGCGGGGTGCAGGTGTGGTTTAAGGACATTCTCCTGGACAGAGTCAGTGGCCTGCAGTGTGGTCTTCCCCAGATGTCCTCGCTGCAGGCCTGAGGCTATGCTAGGTGGCCAGGCTAGGCTCCCAGGAGTGGTCCTGCCAGGCCCTGCTGTCTGTGATGTGTGGGGAGCGGGCCTGGAGGAACTAGATGGATGCAGGGACAAGCATTTCCCAAAGGCCTGATGACCTTTACTGGATTCAGCTGCCTTCATAAGCCTGTGTTTCTAGCTTTCAGTGTTTCTGGGGTTAACTTTAAAACAAAATCAAACCAAAAAAGTTTTTATTATATACTGTGATAGTCCACAACTCTTAAACACAGGGCAATGACAGTTTAATGCACTACCACGTCTGCTCAGGATCATAGAATTCTCTACATTTAAGAGTCAGGGGCTGGGCACGGTGGCTCACGCCTACAATCTCAGCACTTTGGGAGGCCAAGGTGGGTGGATCACCTGAGTTCAGGAGTTGGAGACCAGCCTGGCCAACATGGTGAAACCCTATCTCTACTAAAAATACAAAAATTAGCCAGGCGTGGTGGCATGCATGCATGTGTAATCCCAGCTACTCGGGAGGCTCGCTTGAACCCAGGAGGAAGAGGTTGCAGTGAGCCAAGATTACGTCATTGCACTCCAGCCTGGGCGACAAGAGTGAAACTCAGTCTCAAAAAAAAAAAAAAAGAGTGGGGCAGTGGGGCAGAATTCCTAGGCCTCCTGGTAAAGCAGGGTAGCTTTGAGCCTGTAGGAAAGTTCACTTTTCTGACTCAGTCTACTTTAAAGTGGCCTCTGAGGGACAGAGACCCTGATAGGATCTGGTTGTCTTGCAGAAAGGGTCAGTGAAGTCACTGACTTATTTTGTGGATGAATGCTGTTGCTGGATGTCCTAGCAGATATATTCCTCATTCTTCACTCAGCTTTCTCTCTCTCCTCCTGCCCATGTTAGCCCTACCCACTTCCATTCACAAATCCACCTTATGGATGGTTTGCAGGGTGCTTGAGGCTCATACCAAGGGGAATGAACACAGGCATCTCCCGGAAGACAGCAGTCGGTAGAGAGAACATCTGTATTTCTGACTTGCGGACAGTGTGTGTCCTTTTATACAGCATCATCAAGTTCACCTTTCTCCGTCTTTCTCACAAAGAAATCCTAAAAGACATTGAACATGCTTAGGTTTACAAATGGGAGGGCATGACACAGTAGGAAGAGATGGCATTTGTCATGCATCCCCACTTTCTATCGGTGGACATGGGGCAAATTTTCTATCCTCTTTGAGTCTCAATTCTCTCATCTGGAATATGGGGATAGTGGTGCCTCTGCTGTGGGGATTGGTTGAGAAAACAAAGTGCCCAGCATGGAAAGCACACATCAAATGACAACTCTCTTATTTCCCCTGGACTAAAGCAGTAAGGAGCTGAAGTTCAAGTTCAAGTTCTGCCACTCACCAGCTGTGACCAGAGCACTTTGCCTCATTTCAGTGAACCCTGGGTTCCCACCCGTGCATGAGTCTAAGGTGCCATTTTCCACGATTCTTGGATTTATTTTATCCACATGTCCTGCTGACTTCCTCTTCACAAAAGGAGTGAGGTGAGTTTGCCCAGCCTGGTCTCCTGATGACCACTGTGGTCCCCCTATTTGCTTGTCATCCCTCCTAAGCTTTGACACAGGTAAGTGGCAGAGATGCTAAATGACAGTGCAGGGAGTGCAGGAAACGCCAGCAACAACCTCTTCCAGGTCCCAGTGCGTCCCCCATGCCCCCTCACTTCCGGGATTCTGATGGCCCTGGCCCTGACTGGGTGTGATGGGACGCACCTGGCATGAGCCAAGGGGATGCGCACTCTCTCCTGTCCTGCTCTGTCGTGTTCCTTCCGTCCTTGCCTGTTTGAGTTTATTCTCTCCTTGAAGAGAGAAAACGAGACAAAATCATCGGGTAGTTGAGTGGCTTTCTGTCTTCCTCCTGGAGTTTGTTAATTTTTCAAATTTCCTCAAATCTTTATTTTATTTATTTGTTTATTTTGAGATGGATTCTAGCTCTTGTTGCACAGGCTGGAGCGTAGTGGCACAATCTTGGCTCACTCCAACCTCTACCTCCTGGGTTTAAGCGATTCTCCTGCCTCAGCCTCCTGAGTAGCTGGGATTACAGGCGCATGCCAGCACACCTGGCTAATTTTTGTATTTTTAGTAGAGATGGGGTTTCACTGTGTTGGCCAGGCTGGAGTGTAGTGGCACAATCTTGGCTCACTGCACCCTCTACCTCCCGGGTTCAAGTGATTCTCTTCTGCCTTCGCCTCCTGAGTAGCTGGGAATACAGGCATGCACCACCACGCCCAGCTAATTTTTTTGTATTTTTAGTAGAGATGAGGTTTCACCATGTTGACCAGGCTGGTCTCAAACTCCTGACCTCCTGAGGTGATCCAGCCACCTCAGCCTTCCAAAGTGCTGGGATGACAAGCATGAGCCACTGCACCCGACCCTTCCTTCCCCTTTCAATTGTGTTTTGAATGAATCAAGAAGTGTAGAATTATTAAAGTTGCTGGAGAGGAAAAACGTCTAAATTGCTACCTCTGTGCAACAATTCCAGTCTCGGTTCTTACAGTGAATCTGCTTTTGTAAAGAGCTAGAGAGTGATTGCTATCCCAGGGTGCAGCTATTCACGGCACAAAGCAGAAACAGTCAACATGAATAGTATGGGTAGATTTCTGCAAGCTATCCTCAGTTTTCTTCCCTTCATTTAAAAGACATTTTTCTCCTCACGTCTTAGGTAGCTTGAGAGACACATGAAAAGCAAAGTTTGCTTTTTAAAATAAAATGCTAAGTAGAATTGCACAAATGACTCTAAAATCAATGTATATGTGTATTTCTTTCAAATTTTAATGTATAAAACATACATTTCTTTTAACAAGGACCTTGGCTCTGATGGTCTCCATGTTTAGAATTTGAGTTCTTAAGTGAATGGGATCCAGAAAAAGTACTTTTTCAGAAATAAGATATGGGTTATAATGACATCGCCAATTCACCACTGCTGTAATAGAGTATCAAAGAGGTTAATTTGCTCAAAGTTATGGCCCAGAGTGCTGGGATATAAATTCATGTTTTCTGGCCCCAGTGGTTTTTACCATCAGCCACCTCTCATGGGTGCTCCCACAGCTTACCTATGTGACATCTCTCAGGATATTCGAGCTGATAGTTTTTGGAAGGACAAGAGGGCACGGAGAGTTTCAGGTATGTGAGGTTTGCTTCTTAAGCACATTCTGGCAAACGTCGGGCCACGTTTTACTCTGGGTCTCCATCAGTGTGCAGACAACAGCACTGTCCCCTTGACCTGCTGCAATATTTGTCTGTGATGGTCTCTCCCTCTTCAGAGCTGCCACAGGACCCCGTCTCATTCAGATGGAAAGCAAATGGCACTGGAAGAACGTTTCACCTCCTGTGTTTGTGGGATCAGCCCCAGTACAGGCAAAAATCTCATGCTTTCATACCAACCCCTCTGGGGCTTTCATCTCTGCTCCAAAAAAAAATGGACAGTTTCAAAAATTCAAAAATCAATTGGAATGGAGCCAGCTCTGTCCAGCGGGTTATTAATGGCCCTGGAGCTGACTAATCATATTTGCACAGCCTTTCAGTAAACAGCTTCAACAACAACTAGGGTGGAAAAGAAAACACACACCCCATCCAATCAAGACAAACTTCAAGTATTGATTTCACCACCTCCTTCTCCCCTGCTGCCACTTTTGAAACAAATTTAGAGTATGACACCGGAGTCGTCGATCATTGCCAAACCCCCACGTAACCAGGTCCTGACTATGTTCTGCCGGAATAGTACATTGCTTCGTTCTGCTGAAATTACTTTTTCAAGATTTCCTGAGGCCAGGAATATAAATGGCTGGATCCCGGGGAAGGCAGCAGGGAAAGGAATATCCGGTTGGGCTCAGGTACTCCAGGTACCTCTTCCTGACTGATCACTTCTCAGGTGCCGCGTAAACCTCCACAGCAGCCGTGGGTCCTCCCTGAGCCCTGCAAACAGACCCCATTCCTGCCCCCGAGTCTTTACAGAGAGGCTTCCAGGTATCTCCATTAAACTTCTTTCCGCTTTAGCTTCGGTTCTGTTTGTGGGAAAGACAGGGAGAACCATGAGAGCTATTTCAGAGGGATCTTGTCTCACCAATCTATACCCTGGGCTTGCTGCCCTGCCGACTTAAAAAAAAAAAAAAAAGTTTTAGGGCCGGGCGCGGTAGCTCACGCCTATAATCCCAGCACTTTGGGAGGCTGAGGCAGGCAGATCACGAGGTCAAGAGATGGAGACCATCCTGGTCAATTCGGTGAAACCCTGTCTCTACTAAAGATACAAAAAATTAGCTGGGTGTGGTGGCGCACACCTGTACTCCCAGCTACTAGGGAGGCTGAGGCAGGAGAATTGCTTGAACCCACGAGGTGGAAGTTGCAGTGAGTCAAGATTGTGCCACTACATGCCAGCCTGGTGACAGTGTGAGACTCCATTTCAAAAAAAAGAAAAACAGGTTTTGCTCCGTACTCATAGTGACAGAAACAATGACAACCTGGTGACACGCAGACATCAATTTCCCCCTCTCTTCATTGTTTTAAAATGTGATGTTCCTGGCTGGGCATGCTGGCGCACACCTGTAATCCCAGCACTTTGGGAGGCCGACACGGGAGGATTGCTTGAGCCCAAGAATTTGAGACCAGCCTGGGCAACATAGTGAGACTGTCTGTAATACATACATACATACATACATGCATAAAATGTTTTGTTCCAACACAAATTAACTCTCTAATTGTGCAACATCCTCTCCAACCCTTCACGTCACCTCCATGAGTTTCAATGATTAATAAAACTGATTAATAAAGCAAGAATAACCTTACTTGTTTTATCCTCTTTCAGATGTTTTTGTCTCCTATTTGACTATGTTGTCACCCTAGTGGTTGAGCCTGAGGACACTGTCTAGGGTCCACTACCCAAATAATGACAATGGGGAAGGGGTGAGAGTAGGGGTGTTATTGAGAGATGGATATGAGTTCATTTATTCATTCAACAAACCTTCATTGGGGGCCTGCTGAATGCCAGGCATTGTGCTGCCTAGCTCTTAGCTGTGCCACTCACCCAACAGTGGCCATGGGGTGGGTTTGGACTGGTTCCTTAAGCCCTAAGCCACAGCTGCCTCATCTGAAACAAGGAAGACAATGCCACCTCTGGGATTCTGTGAGGGCTGAATAAAAACTGTCACAGGGCCGGCACTTGGCAGTGCTCAATACATTTTTGTTTCTTTTTACCTTTGGGCCCGACAGGAGGGAGGCAGTTTGGGAGTCTAATGTAGATTCATGAACCCTCAATTTGTTAGTCAAATGGACTTTGTGGAGACCTAGGCACCCTCTTACACTTATCAGGGTATAAAAAGCAAGTCCTCTCACCCCGCTCCATATCTTTGAAAAGTTTACTTTAGCTGGGCAAACACTAGGTATCAAAGAAACAAATAAGAGAAACACAAAAGTTCAGTTATTCCAGGTGGGAGTTAATTAGACAACTAAAGTCATCAAACGGCGTCTGGACTGTCAAGTTTTAGGGTAACTCAGTGGGAGCAGTCTTGTGTTAGGAACCAGCAGACCTGGGTCACCACTTACTTATAAAAGCAAAGAGAGTGACTTTGGACTTCACCTCCCTGGCTCTTGCAAACTTCTCTTTATCTGAACAAGGAGGGGTTCTAAGGTGCTGGAAGGTCTAAGAGCCATCCATCCCTTCCCCACTTTCCTCTTTCCAGAACATCCCCTGAGTAACTCCTGTGAAACCAAGGCCAGTAAGACTGGCCCACTGTGGAAGTGACTGGTCCACAGCAGAACTCACATCAGGGGCGAGGTGGGGAAGACACATGTGGATGCTGCAGTTGTCATTTCTGTTCTGGCTGTAACATAGGAAGCTCCCAAAATGATACCACTGTTCTGTGAACCCAAACTAGGACCAGGAATCACTGTTAGTGTTTTTCTTATGGCTTTCAGTTCTGTTCTATTGTAACAAAACAAAACAAAACAAAACAAAAAAAACCGCCAAAAAACCAAACCAAAACAAAACAAAAAATGATGAGGTGGACAGAGATGCCACAAAGAGCTTCCTGGGGCAGAAGAATCATCACAGATACAGCTAGGGTCACATTGTCAGGCAAGTGTCAGCGCCACAATAAGACATATTCTTTTTTTTTTTTAATTGTGGTAAAATATACATAACATAAAGGTAATAAATATGTTATGCATATTTTACACCATCTTAATCATTTTAAAGTGGCATTAAGGACATTGGCATTGTTGTGCAACCATCACCATCATCCACCTCCAGAATTTTTTATATCTTCCCAAACTGAAACTCTGCATGCATTAAACAACAACCCTCGCCCCTCTGCCCCTGGTCACCACCATCCCACTTCCTGTCTGTGAATCTGTTGCTAGATGCCTCACATGAGCAGATTCCCATAGTGTTTGTTGTGAGTGGAATTGCATAGAGTTTGTTATCAGTGGATTTGAATAGTATTTGTCATGAGCAGAATCACATACTGTCTGTCATAAGCATAATTGCATAGTGTTTGTCATGAGCAGATTCACATAGTGTTTGTTGTGAGCCAATTTGCATAGCATTTGTCATGAGTGGAATTGCATTGTATTTGTCATGAGTGGATTTGCATAATGTTTGCCATGAGCAGAATCGATAGCGTTTGCCATGAGTGGAATCACATAGTGTTTGCCGTGAGCGGAATTGCATAGTATTTGTCATGAGCGGAATCGTGTAGTATTTGTCATGAGAAGATTTGCGTAGTATTTGTCATGAGTGGAATTGCACCATATTTGTCATGAGTGGATTCGCATAGTGTTTGCCGTGACTGGAATTGCATAGTGTTTGTCGTGAATGGATTTGCATAGTATTTGTCATGAGCGGAATCGCATAGTATTTGTCATGAGCGGAATTGCATTGTATTTGTCATGAGTGGATTTGCATAATGTTTGCCATGAGCGGAATCGCATAGTGTTTGCCATGAGTGGAATCACATAGTGTTTGCCATTAGCAGAATCACATAGCGTTTGCCGTGAGAGGAATTGCATAGTATTTGTCATGAGCAGAATCATGTAGTATTTGTCCTGAGAAGATTTGCATAGTATTTGTCATGAGTGGAATTGCATCATATTTGTCATGAGTGGATTCGCACAGTGTTTGCCGTGACTGGAATTGTATAGTGTTTGTCGTGAATGGATTTGCATAGTATTTGTCATGAGCGGAATCACATAGTATTTGTCATGAGCAGATTTGTATAGTATTTGCCATGAGTGGAATCACGTAGTATTTGCCATGAGCGGAATTATTTGTCATCACAGTATTTGTCACACTGTGATGGTAGCTGTGTTCCTCTGCTGAGGGTGGGAAGGAGGGCTGAGTCCACCTGCAACTGAGGCTCCCACTGGACCAAACCATCCATGGGGAAGGAATTAATTTGTGTGAAGGTTGCTGCCTTATGTTATCCCAACAGCATCAACCCAAAAGTCAGCCTCAGGGAATGTGGGTTGTTGCCATGGAGATTCTGCCCAGTGGTCACCTCTGTGGTCCACGGAAGGAAAAGGTTCTGGCAGCAAACCCTTTCCTTAGTCCTGGGGCCTCTAAGAGGCCCCTTCATGTCTGAAAACCCATCCTGCCCTCTCTGAGCCTTGCAGGTGGCCCTCTCTCTGCCCATATTCACCCCTGCTTGCCTGGCCAGTCCTTCCCACCCAGGAAGGCCTGATTTAGCTGTTGCTTCCCGCAGTAGCATCCTATGAGTTTGGTGCCACCTCAGAGTTACCTCCATGGAATTCCTTATGATAAAAAAATTGTCCCTTTACTGATCAGTCTCTCTCAGCAGAGCATAAGCTCATTTTGGTCAGGGGCAACTGCTTCTTCATTGCTCACCTCTGAGCCTGGCAAGGGCGGACAGCTGTTTCAGGTCAGGCCCCTCTCTGGAGTGAGGGCTGGAGGGTGGGCACTCAGGGGGAATCCGCAGGGAGGAGAGGGAAGTTATCCAGGGAAAAGCTAAGCAAAAGTGTGGCTTCAGATGAGTGTAACCTGACCTGATTTCCCTGAAGAGTTCTGGTACCTGAATGCACCACAGAGTTGTCACGCCGTGTGTTGGGGGCCAGGTTTTTGCACCTGTATTAGTCAGTCACTGGGTACCCCCTTCCAAGCATAGCCAGGTGGTGCGATGCCATTTGCAGAGGGCAGCTCTCTGGGAAGGCGGCAGCTGTGTCTGCAGCCGGCACTCACACACTCTCATGGAGGTGGTGGGAACCAGGAGCATCTACCACAGCACAGGTGAGTACTTGTCCAATGAATGCTTGTCAATAGTAATGATGAAAACAAAATTAGCTGCTAATGTTCACTCTGTGCCAGCCCCTGTGCTCTTTTGCTTACACTGTTTCATTCAGTCTCTACCACCACCCTATGAGGTAGTTGCCAGTTGTATGAGGAAATTGATGTCCCACAGAGCTGAGTGACTTGCCCAAGATGCACAGCTAAGGGCTGGCAATGCCCAGGCTCAAACCTAAATCTCATCGCCTTGATCCCAGATGATAGGCACACATGTTAAAGTCCAGGAAGCACTGTAGGGCAAAGGACATTGAGACTTTTTCCCTTTGTCTCTCTCTGAAAACTTTTGCTCATGTTAATTTCCTTTTGCCAGCTTGCTTCTGTGCAACGTGGGCCTGTGGTAACCTGCAAGGTTGTTAAACTGGTAAAATCATTTAAACAACACCTTATCAAGTGACGCCTCCTCCCAAGTAGCCTTCACCTTTCCTTCTGCAAAGCTGTCCCCTTAAATACCAGAGGTGTCAAATGGCTGCAAGTTGACTTCCTCTTGGGTCCCCACAGACAGAGTCCTTGACACAGGTAGACCTAGGGTTAGTGAGAGAGCAACGCTTACAGCCCTGGACTGCTTCTCTATTTCTGCACTTCGGCCCTTGGAAACGTCCTGGTCAACACTTCCTTGCTGCTTTATCTTTCAGAGGTCCCAGGCCACCACAGTATTTGTCCTAATTAGAGTCAGTTTGCTTTGCAAACCACATTCAAGCTCTCCTAGACACCGAGCAGCTGCTCCTCTGACGTCCCCACCAGAAGCCTTGTTTGCACTGTATGTTGTCAGCAAACAGACCGCCTTGAACAAGCCACTTGGGAACGCTCCTCACTCGGGACTGGAGCAGCAGGCACATGGAAAACTCTCCCGCTTTTCCTTAACAGACGGCTACCTTGCTTCATCATTTCAAAAAATGATAGCAAGGAATAAAGCACTCATGCAAACATGTACAAAGAGGTCACGGAGAGTGGAAAGAACAACAATATGCCCACCGAGGAGCAGCCTCTTGGCCCTTGCTCTGCCAGAACGTGTCTTCCTCGGTAGGAAGAAGTTCAGCAGAGGATTATGGAGATGGTCTCAGCAACACGACTGCCTGGATTTCCATCCTGGTTCCTGCCCCAGGTGGCTTCATCTCTCTGCAGTTCGGTTTCTTCACCTGTAAAACAGGGATAAGAATTCTGTTGGAAGAATTAAATAAGCTAAGAGGTATAGAGTACTTGGTGCACGATAGACTCTCTCTAAATAGTAGAATTTTATTTGTCTCTCTGCTGGCCAAAAGCACTGAGAGATGAGGTTGTTGGCATTGGTGGTGGTATGTTATTTCCAGAGTAAGGGTCCTTCCAGGCAGAACATCAGCAGGGTGAAATGCTTGTCAGTATCTCTACTTCACAGACGTAGCAGAGACTTTGGCTGGAAAAGGAAGGCGGTTTCTGACAGAGAGAGGCTGAGGAGTGATAGCAGCTGGCTGCCCCTGGCCTCTGGCTCTGCGCTCACTTCTGTTGTATTTATACCAGTTGAATTTACCCCACCCCTCCCCACCACATCCCAGGAACCATTTCCAGACCCAGCAAGACAGTATGTGTCTGTATATGCCACTGTTCCTGCGTTTGTGCAGCTCCAAGGGTCTCCTCATACATTCTCTTGTTCCATCTTGTGGGTACCACATGGATACTTGACAGCTAAACTGGTTGTCCTTGGGTCCTTCATGCCAGGCTCCCAGCGGCCCTGCCCTCTGAACATCAGACAATGCTTCTACAACACAGCTTTAATCAGCAGCAAAATAAAATGGGGCTCACTGAATAAGGCTTACAAAGATGATGAGCTCCTGCCTGGGTTTGCATTGCCTGCTGTGCAGACGAGCCGCATCTGTGGATTCCTCCTTAGTCGGACCAAGTTGCCATCTTTCCCTTGGCGCCGAAGGTATCCTATGAGCTGCCACACCTACTCTAGGAATGCCCAGCAAAGTCCTGACTTGGCAACGGGGACCAGAGAAGGAGACTTTCACACATCTCCGGTGACTCTTCTGGAAAGGAGTGGAAGGTCTGCCGGTGAGCGATAGACATGTCACACCCCGGTTCCCAAACCCAGCCCCAGACATTCTGGTGCCAAGAAGTGTCACTTCCTGGCAAAGGTAAAGGGAGGGTCAGTTTCTCCCTGCTGTTCCTGATTCCATCAGCTCTTGTCCCACAGAGCAAACACGTGCCCAGCCTCTGCAGCGACAACCAGGTGTTCTCCTGGACTCACCCTGGCCGAGACCCGCTCGGTGGAGCTGGCATCTGCCGTGAGCCTCCCATTTTATTTGATGGTTTCCATTTAGTAGGTATTGGTAGATGCAGCCAGTCCTTTGAGGAATTATTATACTCATAAAGTGCAGAGAAAATGGTACAGCCCCACCTACTTCTCAGTTTTCTGAGGCTCAGGAATCAGCACATTCTTTTCCTGATTTCGCTCTAGGCTTTCCTCACTCCCGCAATGAGCAGTAGGGGTCACTGTGTAACCACAGAGAGACTCCACAAGGCTCCAGAAATCTAACTCCACCTACCTCCAGCCTGGACCAGAACACCTGGATTAAACGGCTGTCTCACCACATCTTCACAAAGTCAGGGGACGCATTTAGCAGGATCTTTTCTGATTGAAATGATCAATGGCTATTGGTGGTTTCCTGGGTATTTAGAATTGGACAACGGCCCTGGCTGCCCCTCACAACCCCTACCACCTCTGCCCACCAGGGGGCTTCACTCTTTTCCGCTTGGATTCTCTTTACATCCTCCACCGGTCCCCCACTCCACTCACCCATCCCCCAGTAGATTCCCTCCACTCTCTCCATTTCCCTTCTTGTTTCCCAGCTGGTCTACGATCTAGCCATTAAGACTTTGGGGAGAAACATATGAAAATCAGCACAGCCAACCAACTCCACTGCCTTGAAACTGCTTCTGCGTCTGTCGGCCCGACTGCTTTCCACAGTGTGGCAAATCCCGGGTGTTCAACAAATATTGTGGACCACCACTACACTAGAACCACCAAAGAAATATGATGAAGGCTGCAAGAAGCACTGCACTGAGGATCCACTGCTAATGAATTTGGAAAATTTAAAATTCACAGGCTGGGCACGGTGGCTCAAGGCCAGGAACGGTGGCTCACGCCTATAGTCCCAGCACTTTGGGAGGCCAAGGCGGGTGGATCACGAGGTCAGGAGTTCGAGACCAGCCTGGCCAATATGGTGAAACCCTGTCTCTACTAAAAATACAAAAATTAGCTGAGGGTGGTGGCACGTGCCTGTAATCGCAGCTACTCAGGAGGCTGAGCCGGGAGAATCGCTTGAACCTGGGAGATTGCAGTGAGCTGAGATCGAGTCACTGCACTCCAGCCTGGGCGACAGAGCATGATTCTGTCTCAAAAAACAAAACAAACAAACAAAAAACCCACACACTGAAACCATTTTCTAGTGTCCAGTTCTGTAGTATTAGGTAGATTCCCACTGTTGTGCAACCATCACCACCATCCATTTCCAGGACACTGTTCACTCTGTGGAATGGAAACTCTGTAGCCATGAAATGACTCCCCATTCTTCAGTCCCTGGCAACCACCACTCTACTTTCCATCCCTATGAATGTAACTACTCTAAGTATTAAATGAGCCAAACTCATCAGCAGTCAATCTTCAATGCCCTGACTGCTTCATGCAGCTTTGATCATATTTCTTCAGTGGCTCCAGCACAGTGGTGGTCCACAATATTTGTTGAATGCCCGGGATTTGCCACACTGTGCCGGGCAGTCAGGCTGACAGGTGCAGAAGCAGTTTCAATGCAGTGGAGTTGGTGGGCTGTGCTGATTTTGCTTCGTTTCTCCCCAAAGCCTTACTACCTCATGCGAGGTAGTTATTTGTCCTTTTCTGACTGGCTTGCGTCACTTAGCATACAGGTTCTTCATATTGTAGCACGTATCGGAATTTCCTTCCCTTTTCAGGCTGAATAATATTCCATTGTATGGATATTCCACATGTTGTTTATTCATTCATCCACTGATGGACACTTAAGTTGCTTTCACCTTTTCACTGTTGTGAATAATGCTGCTATACACATGGGTGTACAAACATCTATTCGAGTCTGTGCTTTCAGTTCTTTTGAGTGTATACCTCAAAGTGGAATTGCTGGATCACATGGTAATTTTAAGTTTAATTTTTTGAAGAATCATCATACCATTTTCCACAGTGGCTATACCATTTTACATTCACACTAGCAATGCACAAGTGTTCCAATTTTAACAGCTCCTCAGCAATACTTGTTATTTTCTGTCTTTTGATAATAGATAGCCATTCTAATGGGTGAAGTAGTTCCTTCATTTTGTGACTTCATCCTTTTCGGTTTCCTCTTTGTATGTCAATGGTTTTGTAATATCATCTTCTATAGAATGTCAATTCAGTATTTCTTCTAGCACAATGGTTGGGATTTAGAAACACGTGACTTCACACAGACATATTTACCATGTATAGCACTACTATAGACTTCTGTCCTACAAACTCAGAAATCCTGATAAACACTTGATTCTCATAAAAAATAAAAATAGTCCAGGCACAGTGACTCACACCTGTAATCCCAGCACTTTGGGAGGCTTAGGTGGGAGGATCTCTTGAGTCCAGGAGTTTAAAACCAGCCTGGACAACATAGTGAGTCCTTATTTCTACAAAAAAAAAAAAAAAGAATTAAAAAATTACCTGGGCATGGTGGCCCATGCCTATAGTCCCAGCTACTGAGCAGGCTGAGACAGGAGGATTACTGGAGCCTAGGAGGTCAAGGCTGCAATGAGCTGTGATCAAGACACTGCACTCCAGCCTGGGCAACAGAGTGAGACCATGTCTCAAAGTAAAAAAAATGATTAAATAAATCAAAATACAATGCATTCGATTTATAATCATTGCATTATTGAGTATATCCCTGAGGGAGAAACCTTCTGTTTAGACCCAGCATCATTAAGGACTGGCTTCTCCACTAAAAATTTTATGCCTGTGATTAGAAGAATGTTGTAC